ATAGAGTGGTTTTCATAAACCCTTGAAACAAAGTGTAATAATTAGAGTGTAATAGATCGTAATAGTCGCGTAGAGGCAATAGACTAAAAAAAGGACAAAGTGTGATAGCGATAAATACGCTAAAGTGTGTTTCACGGGTTAATGAAAACCACTCTAAAGACCGGGAATAAAAGATAAATAGAAAATGTCCCATGTGGTTCACCTTTATTATGTTCTCTGGTTTATTGATACTGACAAGTTGTCTCTAAATAGCCGCTATTTTTTAGTATTTAGTTGATTTTATTTCATGGTTTTCCTGCGTTTGCTCTATAATAACAACGCTCCTTATTTAGTTTCTTTCAGGACCAACAACGCAGAATCATTTGAACAAGGTGTGGACGAGGAGATACCACAAGGAGAGTGATGTGTCAGTGAAATGGATTCTGTTTAACCTGTTTGCTCTATTTGAAGTTATTTTCTTTCCATTGATATTCGTGGTTTACGGATACGGGATCATTAAAGATCGCAGCAAAGATGATGAGAGTAACGATCACAGCAGTGAAAACCATGAGAGTGACCATCCCAGAAGTAAAAACGGTGAGAGTGACCATCCCAGAAGTAAAAACGGTGAGAGTGACCATCTCAGAAGTAAAAACGGTGAGAGTGACAATCGCAGAAGTAAAAACTACAAGAGTGACGATGGCAGTAAAAGACTTCAAGGTGTCTTAGGTAAATAGCAGCGTGTTCAGCTTATAAGGTCTATCCCACTTCGACTTGTTGTTTAGTCATAATCATATTTTTTTAGTCATGATCATCTTTTTTGTTGCCAAAATTATATAAACTCATTTTTGTTCAATCTGTCGGTTGTTTGTACAAGTAGTTAGCAATAGTTAAGCTTGTATGGACGATTTGATTGGTGCACATGGTTATCAGTTTCCATGGCAATGATAACACGTAACCTTTATCAGCTCTCCTCAGGACTGCTAATGAAACGCAAATATATTCTGCGATATGTAGGTTGTGTCATGTAACGTCTGTGTATCTAGATGAAAATGCCATGAGTTATTGTGGCATATGGGTCTGTTTGGCTAGGTTGTTCATCTACTTATCATGCATGGGTCAGTTACATAAGAACACATTTCGTTCTTCGTAAAAATGTTTAAAGATGCATGGGTAATCGGACTCTATTGTTGTAGGAAGGATTGGACCCGTATGAAATGCAGTTTCAGTATAATATATGAGTGTAATTGTATATACATGTATATAAAATTATAAATAGATTTATCTTTGTGTCATGGCAAACCCAGCCCAACATTACTCATCAGGGGTTGATGAAATCACTGCTTTGTTTCTTCGCTAGAGCAATACACAGACCGCTTCCACATTCCATATTTCGTATTTGTTCGAGACACCCTGAGCTATGTAGCATTACTTATGCTTCATATTGCTGTGTGTGTACAGCCGTCAGGTCTACGATTAAGTGTTCTGGAATGGTTCATCATGGTGTTCTTTATTGGAAGGTTTATGCAGGAAATCGATCAATTCATATCGGAAAGAGATGAAATACACGATCTAAAAACAAATTACTCAAAGTGAGTACCATGCTATACGAATAAGTGTCGAAAGCCATACTTTATTTGAGCGAATTTTTGATTGGCTTGTTATTGCCGCGTTATGTCACTCTCTGAGGTTATAATCTTATATTTCAGAACCTTTAGATTTAAAATGGAAGATTAAATCCTCTCCCCAACCCTGGAACAAAGTTGCGATCACTATAGATGGACTGGAATACCATCACTCTGACATATCCACTATGGTGGGGAGAGGGACCGGGTGTTTTACTTGAATATAGATTTGAACAATATATAATGAAAAGACACATCACGTGCAAACCATCAATTTTAGCAATTAGTATAAGTATTTAGTATCTGATCATTCTATGACGTCGTTAGCCTATAATTTGTTAAATTTTAAAAACTGCATGATTTCCTTCTTAAAGGGACATGGTCCACTAAAATGCAATGCGATCGTGTTTTAGATTTTTCATATATAGAAAATGAGATGACTTCGAATATCCATCCATCCATCGGATTAAAGGTCGAATCTAAAAAGCATCTCCATTCATATAGTATAAAGGAATAATAAAGAGTAAGTTTATGCTTATATTACGATGTATTTCTATTTTCAAACATAAACAAGAACTCGAAAGAGATGCTGGTGGACCATGTCCCTTTAAATACTGATAAGATAAATAGCCTTTCTGAGCGTCTTTTATTTTCTTAGTGATTTTTGGAACAAACTTGATGTTGTCACGATAGTCCTGTTCGTCATTACTTTCATTTTCCGCCTGGTCACGTGGTCACTGACGTCACAGATCATTACAAATGACTGGCTCGTCGTTACTTCCTTATTTTATGGCATTAACGCTATTTTGCTAAGTTTGAGGGTGTTTGGACAAGCAATGGAAGTGAAAAAAACAACTGGGACAAAACAGATTGCCTTACTCCGCATAATCAGTGCAGTTTTTGTGATCTTCGTGCAGATGGTTGCAGCCATTTTAGGATTCTCTTTGATACTAACAAAAATCTATGTCAGTGAGATCACATACGTGGGAAAGAAAGCAACTCATGGGTGAGTAGATAAGAAAATCGAGTCGTCTCTAGCTTGAAAAATAAAATTTAATGCAGACGTTTCGATCGCAACTGCGATCTTCTTCAGTGTAGTGGCAAAAATTGTTTTTTAAAGATCTATCGGTCTGTCCGTAATATACAAAATTACAATTTTTACAGTGAACTTTGTTAGATTCTTGTAAACAGCGCGCGCGCTAATCATTGTAATTCTTTGTGTAAACCGTTAGTCGCGCGTGCACACTTTGCATTTTTGCCACTACACTGAAGAAGATCGCAGTTGCGATCGAAACGTCTGTATTAAATTTTATTTTTCAAGCTAGAGACGACTCAATTTTCTTATCAAGCAGCATCCTAGCTGCAATTTTAAAATAATTCATGTGTGAGTTAATGTAGTGTTTATATACTATTTTTTTTATTCTCTACATTGAGGATTTTTGCTTCCATGGCATCATGGAATTTACTTTGAACTGTCGCATTCACTCTTCAAAATGTCGGACGGCAACTTCCATTAGGGACTAGTCAGGAAAAGTCAGACTTAACTAAATTGCGTTAAAAGGTAAAGATAAGGAAAGAGAAAAGTGTGATAAGATCGCGTTTTTTGGTTTAAACCAACTAAACATGACCTTCGTAATTTGTACTGAAGATTGTCGCCCACGACAACAAATATATAAAAAATACTTACAAAACTTGCAAAACTACAAACTGAAATCTTTAAGTTATAAATGTCAAGAATAATGTTTAAGAAACTCATTAACTGTCTTAAACGTTTATCAATATTCCTTTACGGTCACTAAAGGCAAACACTACTTTTTAAACCACTAAAAGTATAACGTTCGATTCGCCTCGAATTTTTATACCTGATAAAACACTCTCTCTGGTGTTTTAAACTATACATAAATGTGTTAATTAAACGTAAGTAAGATTGCTCCTTCTTTGAGCGATCCGCTTTGATCTTCTGGGTGKTTGAACTACTATGACTGGATGTGATGTTGGGAGGCCGAATCTTTGTCGTGAAGTGTCGGTCGTAGAATTGGATTGACTTCTAGATATTTCAGTTTTTAGGTGTATTTCAGTTTTTCAGGTGTTGTTTCATATGCCTTGGTGAACATTTTAAATTCTTCACACGTAAACTGGGAACCATTATCTGTTACAATGGTTTTGGGAATTCCATGTCTTGCAAAAATTGATTTCAGATGAGTTATGACAATTCTAGCAGTTGTCTTTGATAATAAAGCAAATTCTGGATAGCAAGACATATAGTCAGTAACTAATAGGTAGTCCTTACCATTGAGTGTATGTCTGCTCCAACTTTCATCCATGGTATGCTTGGAACTTCATGTGATATTAGAGGTTCTTTCTGTTGTTGATATCTGTACTTCTGACATACAGCACAGGTGCTAACTTTGTTTTCAATGTCTCTACTCATGTCTGCGGCCACGTCTTCGACCTTTCTCTATTTCCATGTGTCCTTCGTGTATCCTGTTAAGCACGTCTTCTCTCAGAGTTGCCGGTACAGTATTACTCCGTCGATTATAGTAATTTCATCTCTGAAATGATAGTAAAAGGCTCGGGGTAGGTTACATGCTCCCAGCCATTTTCAATGTTTCTTATAACACTTTGTAGCTCTGTATCAGAGGTTGTTGCTGTAGCAATCTCATTCCACCTATTTTCTGTAACTGGCATTGATGTTTTGACCATGTTAACATGTATTTCAACATCTCTTTCAGTTCTCTGATCACAAGGACTCTGAAGATAGGCTCTTAATAATGTATCAGGAACTACTAGGTACTTGCCTGTCGTATATTCAAAGGTTAGGTTGTACTTCTAAAGTTTCAAAATTAGTCTCTGTATTCTTGGTGGTGTGTCACATAAACTCTTCTTGACAATTGTTATCAAAGGTTTGTCGTCTGTTTCTGCGATTACATTTGGTACTCCATAGATAAATTCATGAAACTTGTCACAGGCAAACACCAATCCCAGTGTTTCTTTTTCAATGGTACCATACCTCTGTTCAGCTGGTGTCAGCACTCTCGATGCATATACAATTGACTCTATTAACATAATTGAATCTTTCACAACAGTCTAATCCTAAAAACGATTGGCAATCAGATGGTACTACGACAAACATCTCGTTACCTTTCTGGTTGTTGCATTCTGCATCTATGTAGCAAACTCCAGTTACCGGTATCTGTTCTCCTGTGTACGACCTTAGTACAACTTTCTTTTGCTCAATCTTTGGTATTCCTTGAGAGGTAAAACATTGGCTTGGGCTCCAGTATCAATTTTGAAGAGTATCTCCTGGCCATTAACTGTAACTTTTGACATCAGGTTTTTGTTCGTATTCTGTTTTGAGGTTATGGCTCCCATGAACTATATGTATCTGATTGACTTCCTTGTTCCAGTGTGCTAATATCTTTATTCCGGCACATCTTTCCGAAATGTTTTTTTTATGGCATTTATTGCATTCTTTTCCATAGCGGGGCATTGTTTAAATTCATGTCTTTGTCCACACTTTTGACAAGGTTGTTGTAGTTCCTTTTTGGAATCTAGCTTCTTATCAGTAGTCTTTGAGTTTGGATAGGACTTTTCCCGCCTTTTACTGCACCTATTACAGCTTCTTTGTCTTGGGCCATGCAGCATCTTAATTTGAGTCTTTGCCGTCTCAGCAGCTTGACATATCTCAATGGCCTTCTTTAAAGTTAACTCAATTTCTTAGTAACATATCATGTGGCGACGGGCATGATGTATTTATTACACAATCAGCTATGTAATTTACATGAATTAAGATCATAAATACTAGTTTCCAGGACCTCACGTTACACGCACGGACTTCCAAAGAGCTCCTCGAAAATTACATCCAGCGAAAATGTCTTTTATTCCTGATTGTATATTTTAGATTCTGTTCTCTACTATGTTCACAAAAAATCTACCGGTTACACCATATGAAACTCCCCCCCACTTTACTAAGTGTCTGTCTATACAAAGAAAACAAAAGCTAGTGTGGACGTCTTCACTACGAGTCGGTGGATCCTTTACTTTTCTGCTGGAGTGATCAGTTTCACGCAGACTACTATTAGGTCCTTTCAATATCCGTGCATCTAAAGTTTATATAAACGTGTTTCTTTATGCTTAAGGCATAGCAAGTATCAAGTTTTTTTGTATTTGTTCTAATTGTTTCATATAAAATGCTGAATAATATGACTAATTGATAATTATTAAGATGATCATTTCTAAAGTCAGTTCACTAAAATACTGAATGTCCATTGTTCCATATACTGGGTATATCGCAGGCGTTCTATATGCAGCAGGTGTTGGTATTCTGTAACCGTTGGGTGACAACATCCAAGGATACAGGGTAGAACATATAAATGGTGTTGTGGTACTGGATACCATGGTGTTTGTGGTCGTTGTTGTACCGTTTGCAGTGATGTTACATATTCATAGATCACGTACTGAATGTATGGTGTCCGGTTGCACCATCACAAAAACACTGTTGACGAGCTACTGAGATAATCTTTGAAGATGTTTGTTTGAACAATGTAAATGTAAAATACAATATGCACGAAAAAAAAATTTAAAGAGGATGTTCTTGAAAAAAATGTTTGTTTTTCTTCCTACTGGCTTAGGACATAGTTAATATTAACTATTAACTATGCTTAGGACAATCACTAATTTTTCAAACAGCGGTATTATTCTTCGACAAGATGTCAAGCTCCCGAGGATAATTTCCATTTTTGCTTTTTAAATTTGAGGCACTAAAACGCTAGCCTTGATTCGACTGTACGTTACGTAAAACAGTTTATTTACAATCCAGGCCTTAGATATTCGACTGTACATTACTGGCTGGCGTATAAATACAACTTTTTTACGTAACGTAAAGTGAATCTCAGGCTGGTGTGTAAGTAAAACAGTTTTACTTATCGTACGAGTGAATCTCAGGCTGGAGTATAGAAATGTCACAATAGACATGAGCGGCACGTAAAGCGGCTGAAGACTGAGCCTGTCCGGATGCAGGATTAATAAATATTTGAAATTAAGAATGTAATATGTGCTGTCTATTCAAACAAAAAAAGATCACAATATTAGTTACAGTTACAATGAAAGAGGATGATCTAAAGTTTACACGATGATCGTTTGCTCTGGGCTTTCCTCAAAACTTAGTCAGTCAAGTTGTAAACGCAACATAAGCATATAGTCAAAAATGCAAAAAAACTACAATTTTAACTCCATGCTCTATGGTACAAGTATATTTGTGATACACTTAATCCTGTGGGCGTGTAAATCGCTTCTTTTTTGGCCATATATGGTCATTTGGCGGGAAATTTGAATAAAATCTAATATAAAAATTAAGTAACACCTAATAGCGGAGTATAGAAGCTGAAAATGATTATCTAGTACTGCTATTTCAAAGGTAGATGCTCTGTTCTAAGGAATGTGAGCTACAACAGTTTTGTTGACATGCGAACAAATATTATAAAGAGTATGTTTATGAGAATTTAGTTCGTACTAATATTGACTTCGGTAGATTTTGTTCCGTTGGATGAAGTTTAATATTATAATCTATAAAGGTCAATTGATTAAAAGTAAACTGAAAGCTTCTCGGCAAAAAGAAGTAGTCTACATAAGCTTACAATAATCAACATTGTTTCAATAATCGATGTTTGAATCCGGACTACTCGAACTTCACATATCACAGAAAACTGTATACAAAAATATATTTTTTACCTTCATTATCGAGCTTCCGATAAATTATCGTTCAAAGGTCATCTTCAACAGAGCCATACTTGTTTCAAGCATCAAGTTTCATCAATTTATTAAGTCATTCAAGACTGTAGATTCTTTGTTTTTAATCTCTCTCAATCTAAGTGCTAGCGTGGTCTTGGTTTCGAAATGTCCACACTTTTAGTCGACAAAAGAACTTCGCATAGATCCCTGCTTTTTCCCATATTGATCCATATTATTGAAGCATTTCCAATAAAGTATAATCTCTTTCTTGGTGTCGAAATATCAAAGTAAAATCCTTTTTTCTAATATCACTTTTAAGATGGGCCTAAATTGCTTTTCCCGGATGTGCGAACGTGTCGAAGTTATGACAAAATTGGCGGGAATATTTCTGTGCTGTTATTTCGCTCTTCWGTGGATTTTTTCCTTGTGATTAATTGTTCTAATATTATCAATATGTAATATAAATGTTTAAGCAAAAAATTTCGATTTTWCAACAAATACTTGGCGCTTTGTTTCCTTTTCGAGCGGAGTATGGGTTTCCTGTGGTGGTACACGGAATCCAGGAAGGAAGGACGGACGGAAGGAAACGTGCTTACGCGCGGGAACTCTGTGTCGGTCCATGGAAAATCGACTCGATGGTATACCATTTTTTCTTAGCTATGGTGCTTCGCACGCGCGGGCCTTCGGCCCGCGCGGGAGCTCCGCTATTATTTTTGATTATTTTTAACTCCACGAGAGTTTAACCGATTTATATGGGGTTTTCACCAAAATATGTAGAATAAGCGACTTAATATAAGTGTATTTTCTTTTGCCTTGTTTTACAAATGGTGCTGCAGCAAACAATTATAACGTAATTAATGACGTCAAATTTGTAGTCACATGACCAATTTTGCTATCAAACAATTACTATGCTCTCACACTATGCGCCTGCCAAGTTTCGTTTTATTGATTAAATCTTCGTTAACCACGACCTTCCGGAAGGAAATCCCATAGCAACCAACCATCGTGTTAAAATCGATATTTGTGTGAGGGTAATGTGACGTTTAAGAGTGTTACAGAGGAAACTAACTTACTATAACAATGAAATAAATGAAGCCTTATATGAACACTTACATGTACAACTTCAAATTTGAAATAGGGTTTGCTTATCATCTGATGGAATCCTTTGGTAAGTGTTATCACTCATATATGTTTGTCTGAGTTTCAAATCATTGATGATATCAAATGATTCAAAGTAATTTGTTAGCACGTTTGATGACTTGTGGGAAGCAGGGGTGGTCGAGCGGTGAGAGTTGGTTGGTTGGCTGCTTTGTGTGTGTGTTGTAACTATGTGATTGTCCTCATAATGATAGCGCCCTCGTATAACGCATAACCGACTCGATCATGTGAGCCGCCCCTTCCGTAATTCAGCACTCGGGCTGCGAGGAAGGGCGATTAGCTATCACCAATTTTGAGAATTTCGTCGTACACAGGCATATTATTATTAATACTTGTTGATTCTTCTGTGCAAAATTGATTTATTTTTTAACCGAGCTTTCGGCTTAAGCAGCCATTTTCAAGGTTGTAGTACACGTGATGATCTAATCAAACGTAGTTAACTGAAAGCGCTCGAGGAAACTGTACAATACGCGCGCGCTCTGTTTACAAATGAAAGACAGTATAAAAATATTATTAGGGCACAGAAGAATCAACAAGTATTAATAATTATCACCAATTTATGTATTTATTCAAGTTGCGGCATGATATATGATTGGTCATTTCGTGATTTCATAAAAACACGTTTATATAAGATTGATGATAATTTCTTCCAGTAGTGTTTTTTTTTTCATATTAACTTTGAATTTGATTTGCCATTGCCATCATTGTAGCCACCAAAGCTGCCATCAAATTTTATCATTAATTCCTTTCAGTTGGTGGCACTTTTTTGAGTTCCTTGCATGGTCTACCGTTGGTTCTAGCGATCCAGATTTGCTAACATTGACAACAAGTGTACCAAACTATATCAGTAAAACCTTTTACATGTTGTTTCTTATTGTTGCTGCTGTGATGATCATGAACATGTTGATCGCCCTTTTATCAAATATTTATCAGTTGGTAGAGGTAAGGAAAGAAATACCCTTGAATACCCATACACAAAGCTTCCCACACACAGATTGAATATAATCATGACCTGCAAGTTACAAACACTATCTCTTCGAGCACCGTTGTGCTGTTATGTCAAGTACTTTAGGAAGTTGATTTTTATCTCAAGGGAATGATCGAGAATAAATCAAACCAATGCTCATAAATTTATTTTTAAAGTATATTTAATGAAGACTGAGTTAATCAAACATTGTCGTTTATTTTAAGGAGAATGCATACGATGAGTGGTGTTATAGAAAGGCTTGTCTGATCAAGACATACTACAACTACCACCCGGTACCAGTCCCTTTCAACATCATTACACTCTCCATCAAGCTGATTTATATGATTTTTTCAAAACTAAATCCAAAACGGTTTAAACCTTGTCAAGAAAAACGGAAAGATGAACAAGAGAGCATCAAACAAGTAAATTTGATCATTTGATATCATTTTTTAATATTGCTTCTCAAATAATATGTCGTAATAACTGCGCGTAATATTAGATCAAATGAAATAATGTTTTCGGATCTGAGCCTGTGATCAAATGAAAGTTTTTAAAGGGACACTGTCAGTGGATGACATGCGCAGTAACAGTCTTGCCTCTAACGGACTTGGAAAGTATTACCTTCGAGGTAAATCAATGTTTTGACACACTTTGGAATATTCTAGATCTGTTTACGTTTACGAGTACTTTTTTTGTCATGCGTCGCGCCAACTTGGAGTCGTAAACTTGAAAACATTAGCCTAATCTTTTCAAGTTTACTCGCGCATGCGTGCCATTGACAGTGTCCCTTTAATGGATGTTAGTTTCCAATTCACTAGGTTTTCTTTGTTATTCACAGGGTTTTATGCATGATAGA